GCTGCAGCTCATTTGGTCAACCCCCTTCTCCGCCTGCCGCCTGTGGCGGCAACGACTGTTTTTGCTCAAACACCTGTCCAACATAGTACCTGTCAAACTTATCATTCACTTGCCTCTTGTTTTCTTCTTTGCACCTTTTTCTTCTCACTGCCCCATTCTACAATAACTGGCTGCATTTTCCTCATATACTTTACTGCTGCTACCCCTCTGCCACAACTCTACATGGCAGCAGCAGCCGCTGCTTAGCGGCTCCGTCGACCGCTCTCCTGTCCCTACACATTCGCACCCTGCTTGACTTTCTTGTTGTGGGCATTTGATCGTGTCTTTACACACATGCAAGGACGGCACAATTTGCAAGCATTACCTGACAACATGCAGGGATGGCTTCCACGTTTCACCCCGCGTCAGTGCTGTTTGCAATCGCTGTGAGATCGATTTCGCACCCCTCCAGCACCTGGGCCCTGCAGCAAGGCAGGCGGGGAGTGGCGGGTGGGCGCGTGCATTGGCGTATGTTCATGCAGCACATGCCAGCAGGCCCCGAATGCTGCCGGGCGGGGGCGCACGTGCTGGAGATTGCCCAACGCTCACAGGCAGCCCTGGTGCAACATGTGGCAACTCACAGCTCAGTGGCCGTCGTCTCATTGTTTGCAACGAAGGCATTGTACTGAACGAGGCACTCCAGCCCCAGCCCCAGTAACCCATCGCAGCAGGGGGAGCCCGGCTCGAGCTGGGCGCTGCCCTCGCATGCGTCGCCGGCGGCGGCCACGACGGATGTGCACTGTGACGAATCGCTGGTGTCGTTGGCGGGCATAATGGTGAGTTCGCCAATGGCGCAGGCCTGGAACAGATCCTCTCTGCAGGCAGTGCAGGGCTTGGCTTAGTAGGGCTGCCATGCAAGGCAAACATGAGGCAGGGCCACTGGCGGTGGCGACCAGGGCTGGCATGGGAGGCCGCCGCCGCACATGTCACTGTCGCCGCCGCCCTCCTCTATCCCCGTGAACAAGAAGGCGTCCTGGCAGGCCTGGGGCAGCGCGTCAAGCCCCTCGCAACACCCCGGCAGCTCTGCAGCAGCCTGCACCGTATCCGCAGCGCACGCGGCAAATGCGGGCAGCAGCGCTTGAGCGCACTCCCCGCTCACTGTCACTGCCCGAGGGTTCTGCATGGAGGGCAGCACAAACCACGCATACATGAGAGGCTGTAGGCGGGAGCCACGGAGAGCACAAGAGACGACCACGTCGATTGATGGCCGCCAGCGGGTAAAGGGCACCACGTGGGGGGGGCGACAGCAGGCGGCGGCTTAGCCAGGGCGAG